ATCCTGTTAAATGAATGCCTAAATGGGCACAGCGCCCTCTACAGTGTAATAGCGCGTGGAGTAGAGACCGCCCACAGCAGAGTTAACGAAGTCTTTGGGAATTTTGGCCCATTCCTCTTTGCAGCACCTCTCAAGCTCTATCAGGTTGGATGGGAAGCGACGGTGGTCAGCCATATTCAGATCTCTCCAGAGATGTTCAATAGGATTTAGGTCTGGGCTCTGGCTGAGCCACTCACCGAGTTGTTGTGAAGCCACTTCATTGATATTTGGAGTGTGCTTTGAGTCATTGTCCTGCTGGAAGATGAAGCGTCGCCCCAGTCTGAGGTCAAGAGCACTCTCTCTGTAGAGCAATGTCTCTGTACATTGCTGCATTCATCTTTCCCTCTATCCTGACTAGTCCTCCAGTTCCCAGGACACTCTGGAGGGACTATGTCTCTCAGCTGTTCTAGGAACACCTTGGTTTCCTGCTGAGTGTAGCTCCAACTTGCTTCAACACACCTGTCCGGAAGTTTCTAGTCTATCTAGTAAGAGTTTGATTAGCTGCTTCAGGTATGTTTGATTAGGTTGGAGCTAAACTATCCAGGACACCGGACCTCCAGAACCATGTGGACACCCCTGCGCTAGATAAATAAATATGAACTGAATATTATCAAGCGTGTGCATTTCAAACATGAACAAATGATGAGGACAAACCACACAGTTATAATATCATTAGTTTAATGTACATTCATTTGGCACAAGTCTTTTCAATTGAAACAACAGTCTTGAATCCAGACGCTTCTAAACGAGTCATTTCAGAGAGATTCGTTTGATGAACATCATCATGAATCAAAACTTTATGAACATCACAATCAATAATTCTGCTCTTTTACATTAAAGCACACACAAATCCTGCATTAAAACCTCAACAGATGAGCAGAGGGACGAACGAACAATGAGTGAACAAATGAATCGTTCTAAGAGTCGATTCAGTTGAATCTTCAGTGTTTTATCAGGCCTCTAGGACGTTTAAAAAGCATTCAATGCCGTTTAATAGATTAAAAAAGTACCAAAAGTGATGATATGTGTGCTTGAGCATCGATTGTCATGTTAATATGATCATGATTTCAGATTATTCAGGAAAAAGTGATATGATGGTTATGAATTATTATATTCAACTAAATTAAATTAATATACAATGGTGCCAAAAGTATCCAGACACTTCAGATACATTATAAACACACTCTAATATTCATGATAGACGGGAAAAAAGCATACAAAAATAAGTGTTTATTGTGAATAATAGATTTGTTTCAGTCTAAAAATGCTAGAACGATACACAAGACTGAACTCTGATGAATCATATTCACACAGGTTTGACTGAAGTGAACTAATACGCCTTGGAGTCACTGTATAATTAAAAATAAAGCAACGTTTTAGTTCAGAAACGAGCAAAGAAATCAGATTAGCAAACTAATACTGTTACCGTTTTGCTTAAAATCGCTCATGCGAGTAAATGAATGAACAACTCATAACCCGAACAGCTAATATATTGAATATTCACTATAAAATTATCCAGAAATGAGCAGCTTTCTGTATTTGCTTTTGTTTATTTATAATTTTGAGTTGCATAATGAGAGCTTGATCTCTCTTCCAATAACTTTTAACATAAAAAAGTGACTTTTATTGACATTTTTAATAGTCTGCAGTGCTAAATTGTCTGTTTTGGTGTTGTATATTATGATACAAACACCCTGTAATAAACTGCAGCACATTTTCAGTGATTTTACAGCATTATTTCTCCATTTCTTCAACATTATATTATCTCAAAATACTAAAACATCAGTAAAAGTCACTTAGTTAAACTGTAGAGTTGAATTTTCAACATTATAAGTGGACCGAGCAGAGATCAACATCCCATAATACAACTCACAACCGCAAATAAACACTAGTGAATCACTAAATACAGACACTGTTCATTCACAGATAGATTGAGCAGTGTTGCTGCGTGTATATCAGTTAGTAACACTTGTAGAGATGATGTGTATGTTGTTGTTGTGTTTGCTTTTCTCTTCAGGCACTTAGGAACTGCAGATTCATACATGTGCAAAAACACACACAGCACGTGACTGACCTCTATCGCACACACACATGCTCCCGCGCAAGCTCGCTTTCACGCACGCAAGCTAACATGACAGTCTGTCCAAGATCAGTAACAATGCATAAAGAGTTTTTCACTCCATATTTCTCTCCAATGAAGGCAAAATGTAATATTTTTGTACCACAGGGTGGGCCGTTTATATGGATACAGCTTAATAAAATGGGAATGGTTGGTTATACTAGCGTCCTGTTTGTGGCAGATTAGTATATGTGAGGGGGAAAACTTTTCAAGATGGGTGGTGACCATGGTGGCCATTTTGAAGTCGGCCATCTTGGATCCAACTTTTGTTTCTTTTAATAGGAAGAAGGTCATGTGACACATCAAACTTATTGGGAATTACACAAGAAAAACAATGGTGTGCTTGGTTTAAACATAGCTTTATTCTTTCATGAGTTATTTAGAAGTTTCTGACCACTTATAAAATGTGTTCAATGTGCTGCCCATTGAGTTGGATTGTTACTGCAGCCCTCTTCTCCCACTCTTCACACACTGATAGCAACACCGCAGGAGAAATGCCAGCACAGGCTTCCAGTATCTGTAGTTTCAGGTGCTGCACATCTTGTATCTTCACATCATAGACAGCAAAGATAGTGGGACCATTCTTCATCAGTGGAAACCTCAAAGCCACTGGATATTTGAACTTGCTCCATGATGATGTGTTTCCCTCTTTATGCACTGACGCTGGCACCTACCCTGAGTTTCTCCAGCAAGATGGTGCACCACCACATTATGGGTGTCAGGTCCGAGCATTCCTACATGAACAGTTTCCTGAAAAGTGGATTGGTCGTCGTGGGCCGGTTTAATGGCCCCAAAGGTCTCCCGATCTGACCCCCTTAGACTTTTATCTTTAGGGTCATCTGAAGGCAATTGTCTATGGTGTGAAGATACAAGATGTGCAGCACCTGAAACTACGCATATTGGAAGCCTGTGCTGGCATTTCTCCTGCGGTGTTGCTGTCAGTGTGTGAAGTGTAGGAGAAGAGGGTTGCATTGACAATCCAACACAATGAGCAGCATCATTGAACACACTTTATAAGTGGTCAGAAACTTGTAAACAACTCATGAAGGAATAAAGTTAGGTTAAAACCAAGCACACCGTTGTTTTTCTTGTGAAATTGCAATAAGTTTGATGTGTCACATGACCCTCTTCCTATTGAAGAAATAAAAGTTGGATCCAAGATGGCCGACTTCAAAATGGCCACCATGGTCACCACCCATCTTGAAAAGTTTGCCCCTCACATATATTAATGTGCCACAAACAGGACGTTAATATCACCAACCATTGCCATTTTATTAAGCTGTATCAATGTAAACGGCCCACCCTGTATATCACTGCATTTCTTTCAATTAAAATCAGCAAATAGTACCAACAGGTATGCCCAAATTCAATTTTATTTCAAAGTATGTTTGTAAATGTATCAAACCATAAATAATAATCAGTTTAAAGAAACAAAAACGCCCATAAAGCATGCAGTGTATATGATATGTAGTACATAATTTGGGCAAAAGTGAGTTGAGTTCTGTACTATCAAGTAGACTAACTGTATGTTACAATTAGTTATAATTGTAGTTATAATAACGTTTTTTAAAAAGAAAATCAAGACATAAAATTAAATAAAACAATTAATAAAAGTCAATCATGCCACAAAATGCTTCTATATAATACACAAAATGGGACTTTTTTTTTCTTTCTGTGGTTAAAATCAAATTAAGTTCAATATAATATGAAACACCATGAAGCATGCACGCAGTTACACCTTAAACATGCTTTTACATGTAGAACTTTGGGGAAAAAATGTGTTTATTTTTGTACTTTTGTCTTTTTATTTAATCCTAATATTCATTATTGGGGAATTTCATTATTGTCATTGTCATTCATTTTTGTGGAAGATGTATTTAGTCACTTTTTTCAAATCAGAATGAGCACAAGCTTAATTAAATGTAACAGACAGCACCATAAAGCTTGCAATGAAACATATAAATCATAAATAATTTGGATTTTTCATTTTATAATTTGTAATTTACCTCCACACTTAAAATTTTACCATAAATGTACTTTTCCCAATTAAATGTACAGTCTAAACCTATATTAAACCTATTTTTATTCTATTATAATTTTTGGTGGTAAATTTGTTGCACAAATTAAACCATAAAATATACAAAATTATTATTCTTTCAACTAATATACCTGGGGGGAAATGTAAAAACAAAATTGGTTTGAAAAGACAATGCAAATAAACTGTAAAATCCGCAAATCTAATTAAATTCACTTTTTGTAAAACAGATAAAAATAGAAAATAAAACAAAATAATAATCTGATTTTAGAGTGAAGTATGACCAGGACGTATCATGACCGTCATCATGTATGTGTGAGCAAACACAAGCAGAACGTACCATTCATTCATTCATTAGATGTCTTTCATAGTTAGTCATACATTCGCTCATTCATTAATTTATTCATTAAGTCATTCATTCATACAATCTTTCAGTTAGTCATTCGTTTGTTCATTCTAGTCATTCATTCAATCATTTATTCATTGAGTCATTCATTCATTCAGTCTTTCAGTTAGTCATTCATCGAGTCATTCACTAATATGTTCGTTCGTTCATTCATTCATTCGTTCGTTCATTCGTTCATTCATTCACCGAGTCATTCATTTATTTGTTTCATCAGCCTTTCAGTTAGTCATTCATTCGTTCGCTCATTTATTCATTCTAGTCATTCATTCGTTCATTCATCCATTGACTCATTCATTCATTCATTCATTCTTTCAGTTAGTCATTTAATTGTGCATTCATTCATTCATGCAAGTTATTCATTTATTCATTGAGTCATTCATTCATTCATTCATTCAATCATTCAATCAAATCAATCAATCGGTCATTCATTTTTCATTTATACAATCAGCTGTTCATTTGGTTAGTCATTATTCATTCATTCATTCATTCATTCATTCATTCATTCATTCATTCATTCATTCTTTCTTTTAGTCATTCATTCCTTCGAGTCATTTATTCATTCATCCACTCATTCAATCAGTCATTCATTCATTCTTTCTTTCTTTGAGCCATTCACTCAGCCAGTCAGTATTGCACTCAGTCTGTGCTGCAGGTCTACATTCAGCGAGTCCTAACACACTCAAACACACTCTAATCTCTAAAATCAAACCCTACTCGTCTCCATCACACGTTTCATTGGCAGCATATGCTCAGGTTTAAAAAGAAGCGTTTGTTCGGTTACTTTCAGGACTGCAGTTCCTCCATGTGCTGCTACCGTGTGCTGTATCACAGGAGCTGGAATTTGCGCAGCAGGATCTGCGTGAGGTCAAAGGTCATGAAGCTGATGCCGACAGCGATGGGACCTTTGACCCAGTTCATGCTCAGGCCTTTATAGAGTCCACGGACGATGCCCTCCTCCGCCACGATCTCCCGCATGGTGCCCAAGACTGTGCTGTACGTGTGTCCAGTGACACCCGCCGTCTGCATGCGTCTGCGCACCACGTCCAGTGGGTAGGAAGCTGACTGACCAATCAGACCCGCACACGCTCCGAACACCAGACGCTCATATGGGAACGGATGAGCACGGCCCGTTTTCTCTAAAACACAGAAGGAAAACAAATATACAGTTGAAGTCAGAATTATTCACCCCCGTTTCATTTTTCCCCAATTTCTGTTTAACGGAGAGCAGATTTATTCAACACATTTCTAATCATAATAGTTTTAATAACTCATCTCTAATAACTGATTTATTTTCTCTTTGCCATGATGACAGTAAATAATATTAGACTAGATATTCTTCAAGACACTTCTATACAGCTTAAAGTGACATTTAAAGGCTTAACTAGGTTAATTAGGCAAGTTAGGGTAATTAGTCAAGTCATTAGCCCCTTTCACACATACACACCTTTTCGGAAAATTGCCGGCAATTTTCCGGAAAGCTTGTATGTGTGAACAGGTCCTTTTTGAAAATACCGGTAAATTCGTTCTGGCTATTTTCCGGAAAGAGAAGTTGTAACATTACCGGCAATTTGCCGGAATGCTGCGCTGTGTGAATGCAGAAGGAAGATTCCCGTAATAAGCGCGTGCACGTCTAGAACGTGCTGACGTGAGACGTCTGCTTTAGCCAATCACAACAGTCAGACGCATTTACGTCCGCGCGGTTTGTGAGAATAAAAGCCTTTGAATATTTTTCCAGACACATTTAGCTGCTAGAAGTTAGTCAGATCACGTTTATATGTTCTTCTTAATGCCAACTGTGTAAATAATCATCGATGAGATGCTTATGATAAGCCGTTGTTTGTTTACCTTCCAGCTTTGCGTGTGGCTGTGAAACAGCCTGTGAGCGCCTGCACACGCACATATTATGAATCTCGACATGCGAAAGTGATCCTGCGAAAGTTGTTCACAATATTGATCATCCACAGGGTTTGTAATTTAGTCAAATGTTTACAAATACAAGCGCAGCCATTTAAAGCTCATTTGTGGTGAATGATGGCAGAATTTACCGGTATTTTGGAATGGATGTGTGAATGCTCTTTTCCGGAAAATTTCCGTAACGTCCTCGCCTGTGTGAACAGCGCTTTTTTGAATATACCGGTAAAGTCTTTCCGGAAATTTTCCGGATATTTACCGGTATCACTGTGTGAAAGGGGCTAATGTATAACAGTGGTTTATTCTATAGACTATCCAAAACAAATGTAGATTAAAGGGGCTAATAATTTTGACCTTAAAATGGGTTAAAAAATAAATAAAAACTGATTTTATTCTAGCCAAAACAAATAAGACTTTGCCAGAAGAAAAAAATATTAGAGGAAATACTGAGAAAAATTCCTGAATCTGCGAGATTATTCAAGAAATGCTGGAAAAATAATAAATATTGCACAGGGGGCCGAATAATTTTTCCCTTAACTGTATAAAGCACATTTTTGGTAATTTAAAGAGCTTTACATAAACAAGAATGAATTACAGTAAGTATAATAAAAAAATAAAAATATAAACTACGTCTAGACGATATGACTTATGACTTATATGATCATTTAAGTTGTTTTATTTTGACACATTTTTTGAAGATTTGTTGGCTCCATGATGCGAATCTCTCGTTCAACCACATCCTAAAGGTGCTCTATTGGATTGAGATCTGGTGACTGTGGAGGCCATTTAAGTACAGTGAACTCATAGTCATGTTCAACAAACGAGTCTGAGATGATTGAGCTTTATGACATGGTGCGTTATCCTGCTGGAAGTAGCCATCAGAAGATGGAGACACTGTGCTCATAAAGTGATGGACATGGTCAGCAACAATACTCAGGTAGGCTGTGGCGTTGACACGATGCTCAATTGGTACTAATGGATCCAAAGTGTGCCAAGAAAATCTCCCCCACAGCATTACACCACCACCATAAGCCTGAACCACTGATACAAGGCAGGATGGATCCATGCTTTCATGTTGTTGACATCAAATTCTGACCCGACCATCCGAATGTGTGAGCAGAAATGGAGACTCATCAGAGCAGGTAACGTTTCTCCAATCTTCTATTGTCCAGTTTTGGTGAGCCTGTGTGAATTGTAGCCTCAGTTTCCTGTTCTTAGCTGACAGGAGCGGCACCCGGTGTGGTCTTCTTCTGCTGTAGACCATCCGCCTCAAGGTTGGACGTGTTGTGTGTTCAGAGATGCTCTTCTGCAGAGCTCGGTTGTAGCGAGTGCTTATTTGAGTTACTGTTGCCTTTCTATCAGCTGGAACCAGTCTGGCCATTCTCCTCTGACCTCTGGCATCAACAAGGCATTTGCGCCCACAGAACTGCCACTCACTGGATATTTCCTCTTGTTCAGACCATTCTCTGTAAACCCTAGAGATGGCCATGCGTGAAAATCCCAGTAGATCAGTAGTTTCTGAAATACTCAGAGCAGCCCGTCTGGCACCAACAACCATGCCACGTTCAAAGTCACTTAAATCCCCTTTCTTCCCTATCCTGGTGCTCGCTTTGAACTGCAGCAGATCGTCTTGACCATGTCTACATGCCGAAATGCATTGAGTTGCTGCCATGTGACTGGCTGATTAGAAATTTGGGTTAACAAGCAGATAGACAAGTGTACCTAATAAAGTGCCCGGTGAGTGTATATGTATATATAAACTGATATATAAATTATATAGATATTCCCTCTATCGCGTGCCGTTGCATTAATTTAGAACACAATTTAAGTCAGACTAGCTTTTCAATCTGGCAACCTGCTTGCGTTTGTTTTGATCCATGAATGCAATACCTAGTTCAACCACTGGGTGTCAAACTTGCACACTGCACCTTTAAGCTATCTAAACGCTGTTTAAGGCCCCGTTTACACTAGTGCGCTTTAGTTTTAAAACCGCGTTTTGGATCAAAAACAATCCGTGTCCACACTAGCGTTTCTAAACATATCTCAGTCCACACTACGTCACCAGAAATGTATATCATGTGACTATGCGCGCACTCTGGGTATGCGCGTTCTAGTATAAACAGGAAGTATGTGTCTCGCTCGGCATTTGGTTATTGTTAGTCAACAAATGCCGGTTGAACAATGACCGTGATGGCAAAGAAAGCAAGAGAGGTACTTTTGTGGACAGACGACGAGGTCTAGTTATTACTAAATGTAACAAATTAATAACTGCACAATCAACATATAAAACAACAATGGGAAATGGAACTCAATGTGACATTGGATGATGATACTTGGGTGGGTGTTTGTTCTGGTTGCCATAAGGGAGTGGGGAGCCAAATGTGTAAGGAGTTTGACTGGAAGTCTAAAATTCGATTTTTCAGGACACCACTAAAGTGTTTTCGTTCTGATAGTTGTGGCAGCAATAAGTGCTGGAGAAACTGTGGACTGGTGGGTGATCAAACGCACATATTTTGGGACTGTCCCATTGTTCAACACTTTTGGACTGAAGTTAAGGGGATCGTAGAAAAGCTCCTTAAAGTGAATCTCTCTTGGGACCCTTTAACGTTTTTACTGGACAAATTTCCAGAGGATCTGTCCCATGATCAGGAAACTTTACTAAATCTCCTGCTAATGGCTGCAAGAAAAAATATAACAATTAACCCTTAAAGACCTAGAGGTATTTTGTGGGCATCTAATGGGCCTATATTATTATTTTTTTTAAAAGCAGTTTTATTTTTATTTTAGCAGTCAGCCTCAAGTGTCATATATCATTTTAAACAGGAGAACCTGAAGTTTCAATCTGTACCATTAAAAGGTCCAGTCTAAAATATTTTTTGGTCCAAAAACTTATGAACAGACAGAAAATATTCCAGAATTTTCCAGAAACGATTTTTTAAAAAAAGTGGCATTTTCTAGTTATTTCAAACAAAACCTTATGAAGTTTGTTTTTCTTTCTTTAGAAATACATGCTGTGATGTTTTATACTTCCAAAATAAATTGTCTACATCCACAATTCCCTGAGCAAGTTATAGCAATTTATTTCAATGTTATTCCAAGGCGTTTTTTTTAATTGGGGAAAAAAATGCATTTATTTACTGACATATGTATTTGCCCAAAAGTTCTGGGAATGAACTAAACAGAAAAAATGTTACAAAATAACAGAACAGTGAAGCAAATTTGACTTTTTCCAAAAAATATATTTTCAGTTACTATAAACAACATCACTTATAAATAATGCGTCAAAGTCCAAATAAACATGGTGCAAATCCTTAGTAAAAAAATAGATATAAATATTTACTATACTATAAATAGTTACATAACGAAACTAGATTCAATATGGAACATCCTTAGGTTTTATGTGCCAGCATGGATATGGTTGTCTGTGGAGATGGATTTGGATGTGGTTGTATGCAATGCAGACAAACAGCTGCACCTTCATTTGCGTCTTTTGAAAACAGCAAGAGCAGCAGTTCGTCTTTGCTGTGTCACTGTTTTGTCATGTTTCTGTGCTGCTGTGCATGCAAAAGTACTTAGTATGAGAATTATTTCATGCAAAACTTTTTTTTGCGTTTTATTTAGCCGCGTATAAATGTATGCCTATCTCTCATTCCGTGTTGTTCAAAAAGCTCATTGTTGGTTCACAAAGCGAAACCTATGCTTATTGGTTGTGATATAGCGAGTTTGAACCAATCTGGGCATGGAGGAGGGACAATGCATCAATGTATCATGTCTGGTTTGTCCGGAGACACAGTGACGAGCGTTTCTTTGTCAAATCAGCGTTGTCAAATTTTGATGACGTAACCGCACTGATTCCGGAGCCTCAGTGTGTGATACAGCGCTGGAAAGCTTCTCTTCTTTATGCCAATCTTTGAATTGTATGAATCAGATCAGCGGATCAAAAGTTATTAAACATTTAAGAGCAATACTTATTTTTAGCCGCGGGCGGCTGTCTCGGTCTTTAAGGGTTAACTGGTTTAAACCTGAACCACCCACGGTTTCACAGTGGATACAAAAAATTAGACAGTAATATTCAATGGAACAGTTGACAGCACAAATACAGCTAAAAACTCAAAACTTTGAAAGAAGATGGGGACCAGTTCAAAGCCTCATTGGATAGGTCACTTATGTCTCTAAGTTTGTATTTTTGCTTGAAGTTTTTCTATTTACTCTTATTTTTTTTCCTCAGATCCTTATTGTCATTATATATATCTTTATTTGTGAGCTCGGGCCCAATCTCAGGACTGTTCTTATTACTGTTTGTATTTATGTTGACTGCTGTCAATAAAAAGTAAAAAAAAAAAACTGCACAATGGCGCCTAAAACAGACAATAGTGCTGCGTTTCTGTGTCCATGTTGTTGTTTACAGTGAAGGCTGGTCTGCTGTCTTCCGGTCGCGTTAAAGCCATGTGTTACAGTCATGTGATAGGGGCTTGACGAATAAGGGAAGGATATGCAATGACACAAAAGCCCCAATCAGCTAGCGAATCTCAGCAGCCCCGCCTCCGTTTTCAGATGTCTCCGTTTTCCCCCATCCACACTGAGACGGAGCAGCAGCGCCTTAGATTGAAAACAGCTTCTCCAGTATTTCCAAAACGCTCCGTTTTCGGCGCTCGAAAACTCCGGCGTAGTGTGGACGGATGGCGTAACCGTAGCAAAACTTATGCGCTTTAAAACGAAAACACATTAGTGTAAACGGGGCCTAAGACAGTACCTGCGTGGGTCTTCTTGAGTGTCTCGTAGGTGAAGAAACTGAGTCCTGCGTACGGCACGACGCCCAGAATAGTGGGAGTAAAACCCCTGTAGAGCGTCTTCAGACCCTCCTCACGAGAGATGCGGACAAACACATCCATGATATTACTGTACCTGAGGAAAAAACATGAGGTATACAAAGCTTAATGACACAACGACAGCACAGATTTCAACATGTTATATGACTGTTGAGAAGTAACTATAAATATAGTGGAGTTTTCCCAAAAAGAGTTAATAAATATGTAGACCTGACTGAAGATCAATTCAATATTGAATAAAGTTGACAATGATTCAATGAAGGGTCTTACATTTCTTTGGGTGTGACGGCCATGCGTGCTCGGACCATGTCCAGTGGATACGTGATAATGGCGGCTGTAGTTCCTGCAAGTGATCCAGCCAGCAAACGCGGCACAGGCGGCAGAGCCCTGAAAGCAGACAGATGCATCTAACACTCCACATCTATAATCCTCTTAGTCTATACTGACATTATCTTCAGCAGCTCAAACACTCTGATGGCTAATGGACAGATGGCTGCTTCTCACTCAGGGCTGCTGTTTATGCTAATGAGGGAGAGATGGGCACTAGTGGGTGGGGCTTTTCCCCCTCTGATGATGAGTACAAGTGTTTCTGCAGACTGTCTGGGTATAAACAATACAATTATTTCATGTTTACCATTAGAGGCTGGTCATATTCACACACTGCTGACACACAACTGTGTTTAAACCCTTTATAAAAGTGAGTTTTTGCATAATAGGTCCACTTTAAACCTCCAGCAAGCCTTCAATGGCTTTGTATAAATGTAAATGAGCATTGGTAAAGGAGCACTCACTTGCCCTGGAAGCCATAATACTTTCCCAGAATGCCCTTGTATTGTTCATGTGCGCAGAACTGGATGGCAGCGTAAGGAATGACGCGCACCATTGTGGCCGAGTTTCCCCTCCACAAACTGAAGAAGCCATCCTTTAGATATGTGCGGTAGATTAACCTGTACGCCTCCTGCAAATCAACAAATACATGCATGCACAGCAGACGTTTTAGTTTAGTTGGATTGTTTTTAGCAGTGAAGTTATACATTATACACATGCATGCATTTAGCAGAAATTCTGATTTTGCAGATTTTTTTTTTGCAATGAAGTTTTGTTATATAAGCTCATGCAGTCAGTAGCGCTGCTGTTTGAGCAAGGAAAATGCAAACATACATCAAGTATACATCACAAATACATAACAAAATATAAAGCTTTCTGTGTTGAGTCATATTTTAACCTTTTTGTTATTATTATATTTATTAATGTAAATTGCAGACATGCTAGAACACACAAGTTCAAAGTTCAAAGGAAAAATGCTCACCTTGGCCGAAAATCTATTTGATGACACTGAAACCAGAAGATAAAGAGAAATATTTAGCTTGGCTGCTTTTTCAGGGCAGGAAAAAAATAAAGCAACTTTACAGCAAACAATAATGATGAATTGATTTGTGTGAAACCTCTAAAGTTCACATAAAAAACATAAACTCATAATACACTAATAGTTATACGTAAAAAAATATATATATAAAATAATATAAAATATAATATAAAGCACTTCTAAAATCGTATATATGTCTTTACTATAAAATAAAAATAAAACATTCTATTTAATTTCTAAAAATATTCATTTAAAACAATACAAATAATATCCAAATATTAAAAAAAAAATATATTAAAACAAGCAGGAAAAAATACAAATTATTATTAAATAAATAAATAAATAAATCTGTAAAAATAAATAAGCAAAAATTTATTTGATGAGAGAAATATTTAGCCAAGGAAAAAATAAAGCAACTTCTCAGCAAACAATAAAGATGTATTGATTTCTGTGAAACGTCTAAAGTTCACATATCAAAAACATAAACTCCTAATACACAAATCGTTATACCTAAAAAATATATATGAAATAATATGAAATATAATTTAAAACACTCCTAAAATTATACATGTCTTTACTACAAAATAAAAATAAAACAATCTATTTAATATTTAAAAACATTCATTTAAAACTGTTCAAATAATATCCAAATATAAAAAGAACGAACAGGAAAAAAACACAAATACTTATTAAATAAATAAATAAATAAATATGTATGTAAAAATAAAAAAGCAAAAATTTATTTGACGAGAGAAATATTTAGCTTAGCTGTTTTTGTCAGCCGAGGAAAAAATAAAGCAACTTTTCAGCAATCAATAATGAAAATAAATAACAGGTATTGATTTCTGCAAAACGTCTAAAGTACACATATGTAAGAAAGGTACACTTATAATCACTCGGTTACACCAAGAGTAGTCAAAATATAACAGTCTTTTTGCTGTGAAATCACAACACCACTAAATCTAGTATCTTCAATAAAAAATATTTTCAATATAAATAAATAATAATCTTTAATACATTAAAAAAATTATAATATTATTATCTGAAAAGAAATTAAACATTTAAATGCTATATTATTACAACTATTAATTTTAAAATGAAATACACTTTTAATATTAAAATAAAAGTTTTTAAATTAGTGAAATTTATGTTAAAAAAATAATTAAATAAATGTGTACAAATAAATAAAATAAAATAATGTAGTGCTAATAGAAAAATTATATCTAACAGAAACTCTGCATTTTCCCAATAATATTGTGATTAATAATATAAATATATAATTTTTACACAATTTAAATTAGGTCACAGCAGAAGGAAAAACAAAGTGAAAACCACTGTTGTAAGTCACTCACACATACATGGTCTGTTCTGGAATCAAAATATTGATTTATTTTTTCTGAAAGATGACAAGTGTTTTTCCCTTGATGAATGTATTCAGTTGTCTCCAGGCACAAACTTGTTTTATCATTTGCACATGATACAAATGACATATTTGGGTGTGACTTATTATTTACATACTTCAGTGCATCTGTAAAGACACACAAAGAAGATTCATTCCAGTTTGTCTTCCTACCCTGAAAGATGATCTTGGTTCGGTCCAGTGGTGCGACTGCAGTTTTAGCCACAGCTCCAGCAAACGCTCCCGAAACCAGAGAGTTCAAGACCGATCGACCCTGTTTAAAACCCTGACAATATAAAACACACACAGATCACACATTAGTTGATGATGCAGAATAGATGACCATATACACATCTGAAGTGAATCAAAACATTTAATCAAACATTTTTTTAATACCAACAAGTGTATTGAACAATCCCTATTCTCGCCACTTGAAAATTTCTACAGTAATGAAAAGTAGAACTAGTGTTTTTGACCCACCATGTACTACCGTACTTGAATTGATCTGTTGTGGTGATTCTATAGTTGCTATGGTAAAAACAACTATCGTAATTGATCTGATGTAGTGATTCTGCAGTTGCTATGGTAACAACCATAGTAAGTGATCTGTTGTGGTGATTCTATAGTTGCTATGGTAACAACAACTATAGTAAGTGATCTGTTGTGGTGATTCTACAGTTGCTATGGTAACAACAACTATAGTAAGTGATTTGTTGTGGTGATTCTATAGTTGCTAGGGTAACACAACAACTACAGTAATTGATCCGTTGTGGTGATTCTATAATTGCTATAGTAACACGACAACTATGATAATTGATATGTTGTGGAGATTCTACAGTTGCCATGGTAACACAACAACTACAATAATTGATCTGCTGTGATGATTATATCCTTGCTATGGTAATACAACAACTACAGTAAAAAATGTGTTGTGGTGATTCTACAATTGCTATGGTAACAACAACTATAGTAAGTGATTTGTTGTGGTGATTTAATAGTTGCTAGGGTAACACAACAACTACAGTAATTGATCCGTTGTGGTGATTCTATAATTGCTATAGTAACACAACAACTACCGTTATAGATCTGTTGTGGTGATTCTATAGTTGCTATGGTAAAAACAACTATCGTAATTGATCTTTTGTGGTGATTCTACAATTGCTATGATAACAACAACTGCAGTAAGTGATCTGTTGTGGTGATTCTGCAGTTGCCATGGTAACAACCATAGTAAGTGATCCGTTGTGTTGATTCTATAATTGCTATGGTAACACGACAACTAAGATAATTGATATGTTGTGGAGATTCTACGGTTGCCATGGTAACACAACAACTGTGATAATTGATCTGTTGTGGTGATTATATTGTTGCTATGGTAACACAACAACTACAGTAATTGATCTGTTGTGGTGATTCTACAGTTGCTATGGTAACGCAACAACAAAATTTTTCTGCAGTGGTGATTATATAGTTGCTATGGTAACAACAACTACTGTACTTGATCCGTTGTGGTGATTCTATAGTTGCTATGGTAACACAAAAACAACAACCATAGTAATAATATAAACAAATGACCCAATACTGTAGTTTTCTACAACTATAGTGCATATTATACTACAATACACCACAGATTACTGTAGTAAATACTGCAGTATTGTTTTACAGTTTATCAGTTCAATATAGTTCAGTATGCTGGATTATTTATTAAAAAAGAGTGGTAACACACTACAATATATTCATAAAAATCAAATAAAAATCATCACTAAAAATTGTTATAGTGTTGTTTCTGTTTTTTTTAAACAAGCCAAAAGGTTTATGGGCCGTAACACCAACCCATAAGCAACTCCTTCCCTTTTCTCATTTTGACTAATATAATAATACTGTGCATCTTTTTGAAAAGATGCTTTGGAATGGTAATTATTGTGAAAAGCTCTATACAATTAAACTTGAATAGATATGATGTTTAAACATGCCCAGGCAGGACCACATACTGTGCTTCTAGGAAGGACTCTGCCTTCCTTTTAATCTTTATAAAGCAGAACAGGTTTATATTCACACTTCTAATCTGTTTCCACCCATAAACCCATGAGCTGAATGAGTGAATAGAAAAAAGCAGGAACATTGGGCTGAGATGAATTCAAGAAACCAGTTCCAGCATGCTGAATGGATACAGACTGTTCTTCTGTTTGTTTGAATAAGTATCAAGAGATATTGCACAGTTTGTCTCATTCATTAGACACAATGAAGCTAAACAATGTTCAACATGATCCTGTGCCTGACAGACACTATTAAAAATTATTTCCACACACCACAGGGGATTTGCCAATTTAGAGAAAGGATAAAAATAATAATAGCATTTTTTTTTCTGATGAACTTTGTGCATTAAAATGGCATTTAAAAAATGAAGAAAAAGCATTTAAAAACTCATTATCTTCAAATTTACAGTTGTGATGTGTTGGGGAAAAATGCAACTTTATATTAATAATTTGTATTAATTTTTTATTGTTTTTTATAGAACTTTAATATATTCAAACAAATGTTTACATTTCCCTAAAACTAAATAAATACATTTATAGAAAAAAAATGAATAAATGAATCCAAAGAATTTGAGGACACTCAATTTTGCCCAATAATTTATGAATATTAGCATTATTAATACAAAAATAAAATATACACATTTATACAGTATGTAAAAACAAACAATAAACAACAATAAATAATGAATGTTATTACTGATGTATTGCATTCATTAAATAATAATAATAATAATAATAGTCAACTAAATAGAAACAAACAAAAAAATATTAATGCTACAATAATTCATTTATTCATTCATTTTCTTTTTGGCTTAGTCCCTTTATTAATCTGGGATCGCCACTGCGGAATAAACCGCCAATTTATGCAGCATATGTTTAATGCAGCGGATACCCTTCCAGGTGCAACCCATCACTGGGAAATATTCATACAAACCCTTTCACACACATACACTACTACAATAATAGTTATGTGGATTTTACAATATTTTACTTTATACTTTAACATAACCATGGTTACATTTAATGAAATCTACTGTCCAAATAAACACATACAGCACAAATAAATGCGCATAAATAAACTATTAAAATGACAATGACTTTTACTGTAAACAGGTCAATCAGCAACCCAGATGGATATAAAACCAGACTTTGTCTGAATGTTCAAATGTTTAAAAATGAACATTTGCCTGAAGCACATATCTAAAAAAAAACATTCGGAGAAACTGGGGCAGCACAACGGCTCAATGGTCAAAAAGGGTGCTGGTTCGAGTCACAGCTGGGTGAGTTGGCGTTTCTGTGTGGAGTTTGCATGTTTTCCCAGTGTTGGTGTGGGTTGGTGCTCCGGTTTCACCCACAGTCGAAACACATGCGCTATACGGCCATTGATTAACTAAATTGGCCGCAATGTAGGAGTGTGCGTGTGTGATTGTGAGTGTGTATGGGTGTTCCCCAGTGATGGGTTGCAGCTGGAAGGGCATCCGTTGTGTAAAACATATGCTGGAATAATTGGCGGTTCATTTTGCTGTGAAAACCTCTAATTATAAAAGCACTAAGACGAAAGAAAATGAAGGAATTTATGAATATTAGCATTATTGTTAATAATAAAGTGTATTCATTTATATGTAAAAAAAAAAAAAATATATATATATATATATATATATTATCACTGCTGTGTTGCGTAAAATTAATATAATAATAATAATAATAATAATAATAATAATAATAATAATAATAATAAACTAAAATACCTAATAAGAAACAAACTAAGAAATATTAACACTACAACAAGTTAACATTTAATTAAATGTGATGAAATCATTTAAGGAAATCATTCAATTTAATTAAGTTAAGTCCTGATAAAGACATCTAGCACAAAAGAAAGGCTATAGACTATTAACATGACAATGAGCTTTACAGTAAACAGGTCAATCAGCAACCCAAATGGATATAAAAACAGCATCATCATGCAAGGATTGTCATCATAATAGTTATAATAATATCTAACTGAAACAAAAACTGGTTCTGGTGACAATTTATAACTATTTTGAGCTTGAAATCTTCCCACTTGCTTTCAAATCATATATTAAAAAAATAAATGACACTGTATTTTAACAAGTACGGTCATACTTTTGTGCTTAAAAAAGGCTTTAGTTTACATTCACCGGCCACTTTGTTAGGTACACCTGTTTATTTGCTTGTTAATGCAATTTTCTAATCAGCCAGTCACAGGGCAGCAACTCAATGCATGTAAGCATGTAGACATGGTCAAGACGATCTGCTGCAGTTCAAACTGAGCATCAAAATGGGGAAGAAAGGGGATTTAAGAGACTTTGAACGTGGCATGGTTGTTGGTGCCAGACAGGCTGCTCTAAGTATTTCAGAAACTGCTGATCTACTAAGATTTTCACGCACAACAATCTCTAGGGTTTACAGAGAATGGTCTGACAAGGAGCAAATATCCAGTGAGCGGCAGTTCTGTGGACGCAAATGCCTTGTTGATGCCAGAGGTCAGAGGAGAATGGCCAGACTGGTTCCAGCTGATAGAAAGGCAACAGTAACTCAAATAAGCACTCGCTACAACCGAGCTCTGCAGAAGAGCATCTCTGAACACACAACACGTCCAACCTTGAGGCAGATGGGCTACAGCAGCAGAAGAGCACACCGGGTGCCGCTCCTGTCAGCTAAGAACAGGAAACTGAGGCTACAATTCACACAGACTCACCAAAACTGGACAATAGAAGATTGGAGAAACGTTGCTGCTCTGATGAGTCTCCATTTCTGCTGACACATTCAGATGCTCGGGTCAGAATTTGGCATCAACAACATGAAAGCATGGATCATCCTGCCTTGTATCAGCGGTTCAGGCTGATGGTGGTGGTGTAATGGTGTGGGGGAGATTTTCTTGGCACACTTTGGGCCCACACAGCCTACCTAGTTAACTAGTACAGCCTACTTGTATTGCTGCTGACCATGTCCATCCCTTTATGAGCACAGTGTCTTCATCTTCTGATGGCTACTTCCAGCAGGATAACGCACCATGTCATAAAGCTCAATCATCTCAGACTGGTTTCTTGAACATGACAATGAGTTCACTGTACTCAAATGGCCTCCACAGTCACCAGTTCTCAATCCAATAGAGCAGCTTTGGGATGTGGTGGAATGGGAGATTCACATCATGGATTTGCAGCCGACAAATCTGCAGCAACTGTGTGATGCTATCATGTCAATATGGAGCAAAATCTCTGAGGAG